CCGGCGCCGCTCCCCCCCCCACAGGCGAGCTCCTCTGTGCAGGGCAGCCCTCGCCTGCTCACAGGGCCGGGCCATCCCCACAAGGCACACGTGCACGCACTCATATGCATGCACTCACACACAGAGAGACGTGAACACACACGCATTCATCCACACATCCACACATGCATACGCATGCAAACACATTCACATGGAGACATATACACAGACACAGACATACACACAAACACACATTCAAACAGACATGCACACACAGAGACATACACACAAACACGCATGCACTCACACAGACATGCATGCACTCACGCAGAGACATACACACATGCACGCGTGAACACGCAGGCGCAGCCGAGACTCACCTTGTAGGACTGGAGCAGGTCCAGGAAGAGGTTCAGCTTCTCCACCACGGCGTCCTCCTCCTGTTTGCCCTGGGAAACAGACTGGTTACCTGGCGCCCAGCACAGGGCCCGGGACCTGCCCCAGAGCACGTGTCCGTGGGCCGGGCAGGCCCTTCCCCGGACCAGCCCCCATAGGCAGGCCCAGCACGAGGCAGAGAAGCCATGGATCCAGCAGTTCGATGAGAACACAGCCTCGCCCGCCCCCGCCCACAGGTGCTCACCGTCCAGCACTGCGTGTCCCGCCCGCGCTCCAAAGCCCACGTCGCCCACGCGCACCAGGAGAGCCGGGCGCCGCGACACCCTCCCAGCAGCTCCCCCAGGTATCAGACAAGCAGCGCCCCAGGTGGAACATGGGCTCGGGGAAACAGGGTCCCACTACAACATCGAGAGCTCGTGTGGCCGACCGTGGAAAGCTCACCCCAAAGTCCACAGCGGGGAGAAGTGAGGAGGGCAAGTCTGATGGGGATACGAGCAGTGGCCTGGGAGCCTGGGGCTCCTGCCAGGCTGGGCACCAACTGGGGGGCCTGGAGTCCCTCAGGTCCCACGCATGCCTGGCCTTAGGGGTTCCAGGCCACTGCAGCCCACACCCACAGCCACGTGCTAATCAGTGAGGTTCCAGGAAAGTACCCAGTGACCACAGAGCCCGGCCCTCCTGACTGGGAGAGGAGCCCGAACGGAGCAGGGCACTCGGGGCTCCCTCCTGGCCGTGTCATCTGCCAACAGGCCCCTGCTGGCCCCAGACCGCACGCAACCCCGCACACCGCACCCGCGCCGTTACCAAAGGCACACACCCTGCCCACACACGCACCCACAGGCTGGGCGGTTCCCTAGGCCTCCCGGCGGGTCTGGGGAGAACAACCAGGATCCATTCTTACGGTTGCGACCACCACCCCAGATGCCTCCGCGCTCAGCGAGCGTGAAAAGGGTCGGAGAAAGTCCTGATGGGCGGCGGTGTCTGACCCGGTTTCATGTTAGAACTAATTTCACGTTAACGTGAAAACCACCAAGGTCAGCGAGGCTGCGGGAAACGACACCCTTCATCCGTGAGCTCAGAGCAGAGCCTGGAGCCGGGGGGGGGCCTAGAGCCGGAGGGGCCTGGAGCCAGAGGGCCCGCTCCTCACTCCACGTCAGGGCCGACCTCTGCCCTCTCTAGGCGGGAACAGCCCCGAGGCTGAATCAGAAAAGACCCAAAAATGCCCAGAGAGGGACTTGCATCCTGCACCGGGGTTCCAGGGGCCCCCAAGCCCCGAGGCTATCTGGGAAGAGGGAGCCGTGTGGGCCACGGCCCGGCGCTCTGGAGCGGGTGCAGCAGGCGCCCATCACTCACCTGCTGCGCGGCCTTGTCTGCGAGCACAGCGAACTCCACGGACAGGCCCTTCAGCGCCTGCTTCAGGGACCCCCACGTGCTACTGTTCAGAGCGGCCCAGGAGGGGAGCGGGGTCGTGTCGGACCCTAAAGCGCTGAAGGAAAACGCAACAGGAGACACTCAGGCACCGAAGCTGCCGGCAGTCCCAGCCGACACCGGCCTCCGCCCAACACGTCACGGGGTCCCCACCCATCTCCTGACCGGGACCCTCGCGCTCAGAGGCCACGGGACGCCTGGGGGCTGCGGGGAGGAAGGGCCTCAGCCCAGAGCCCTCTCCCGCTCCTCCCGAGGCCTCTGCGGGCGCAGGGCGGGCCTGGGAGCCAGTCCTCT